CCGCATCCGGGCTGGGTAGTTCGTGTCCCGGAACGCGGCAACATGGTCCAGCTCGTGCCGGGAGGTATCGTAGACGACGCGCTGTCAAATTCAGAAATTTTGCGTAGAGATAACAAGTGTACCGTTAGGCTAGATCCGGAATTCTTCGGTGCCAACGGCACCGTTTTAACCGACCGCGAAGCCTTAGGCGTCTGCGTAACGTGCTCCCCCTCATTCCAAATTGACCCTTTGAATAACATCGTGCCGCGACCACTTGTGTCCGACACGGACCAGTCGCTGCCGTCTTCACAGGCCGGTGCTTCTGCCGATATGGCAGACGTTGCCGGCGATAGTCAGGATTCTGAGGAGCTAAATGGTCCCCGTACTCACATTTGCCCTTATTCTGCACGAAATTTAATGTCTACTGACGTTTATGGTGATGATGAGTACCGTCTCTTTGTTAATTCGTGGACCCGTGCGGAAACCATGATTCTGCGCCCCGTTCATCTTACTGTTGCCGTGCTCAGATCCAGGGCCAATAACGTACCTTTCACAAAGCACGGATCAATTTGCTATCCCATGAAGCGTCCCGTCCAAGCCGCGCGTCTGCCTTGGTACGATTTTGCTCAGCTGCCGTTCATTGTCGTTCAGCAAAACAGGCGTGACGGCACCCATTGCGAGGCTATGGTTAACATGGAGACAATTCTAAAAGCTAGGCACCTCATGGAAAGGCTAATGCCGTGCAAGTACAACCCGCGAAACACGCGGCCCTTCTATCGCTTCGTGGCCGAGCAGTGGGTGCCATTTTCCAATGAAAATTTGCGGGAGCTTCAGAGTCGCCTTCCCGAACGCAACCGTCCCTGCCAGCCACACGGTCTGCGCGTACTTAACGTAGATGAGGTTCACGCGCGCGTAAATAAAGTTTTACATTTTAATCAGTTTGTTAACTGGCTAGAGTCGGGCTTTCCGATGGCGGACATACTCCGCACCAGCTACTCACTGGAGCACGGGGGTGAGGGCGCGGACACGAGCGAGACTTGCTTGAAAAATCTTTGGGATGAAATTCGCAATGCTGTCAGGGACTCACGGGACGACGGGTCGGAAGACGATGACGATGTTAACGTAACGATACGACACGTAGTTCAGTGCGCGGTGGAGCGTCATTGGTTGTTAGCGCCGTCCGTCGAAGACGAGGCCGCAGGCACTGTTCCTCGCGGTTCTACGCTTCTGCTGATGTGCTGCGAGGAACTCGAAATTCTAAGCCGTGAATTTGGTAATGACGAGGGCGGAGCCAGCGGCGTGGCGGTAGGCGGCGTTGCCGCACCCGAAAGTGAACGGCCGGAGGACATTCGTCAGCGAGGACTGGCACAGACAGCCTTGCACCGTATTAGCATGCCTCCGGCCGACCGCGAACATCCATTGCCGGAGTGGACGCCCGGCTATTTTCAGCTCTGTTTTCCAGACGTCTTTTTAACTGGTGATGCCGACCCGTTTCAGGAGCGGCCTGTTCTTATTCGCCAACCGATAACGACTTGGCGTCAGACGTATTTGCACTGGCTAGCCCAGCAGCCAGAATCCGAGGGTAACATTGAGCTACAATTTGTAATAAGCAACCAAAAGAGTAGGGACTCTTCAAATCGCGATGCCACCGTCGCTCTAAATCTGACCGATTTTCCAGATGGTCTCCCCACAAAACAGCAGCTAGTAGACGATCCCCAATTGTGCCGCACGCTGGCTCGCTCTTTGCTCTGTTTTCAAACAAAATTGGATGATTCGGATGCATTTTGGCGTGCACACAAGCACGAAATGATAGGCGCTATTCGTGATCTAGAAGACCCGCCGTCATGGCGGGTTGGTGACATTCCGCTCGTAGTTCATCTTTGGCAAACTAGGGCCGTCCCGTATAACCACCATCCCGCTATTCATCGTCTGTCTGACGGCGCAGCCGCCAGCGAAACACTTAGTGACGAGCAGTATTTACACGCTCGATTTGCCAACACCCTTAAGCATCCGGGCATCGTTTCGTGGGTCACAGCGTTCATTGGGGAAATGGACACCCTTGCGTTGGCGCGCGTGCGTTACTCAGCCACGTACCATATTGTGCGTGCGGAGTGGGGCGCGAACGCCAATCCTCACATTCACCGTAATATAATTAGTGAATCGTTTTCTACTTTCTTGCATCGTCTTCAGGTTCAGCTTCGCATTGAGGCTGAAAGGATTGACCGCGCGGTGCGCAACGAGGACCCAACGCTGGCACGGGACACGTCCCGCAGCGCGGTCGAGACACAGGTGCGCGCGGCATGGCAGTCTTGTCAGCAGTCCTACATTAGGCGCATTGAGAACATGTACACAAATTGGAACGCGGGCTTTACTAAGGGTGGTCGGCGCACATTTGAATTTGCCTACGATAGGAAAACAACCGTTTGTCGCGCGCGAATGGCCGCCGAGCTCGATAGGGCCATGTCCTCCGGTGACTTTGCTTATATTGACCAGCTGTATGTGAGCGTAATTAACGGCACACTTCGCCACACGGGTCACAGCGGTAGGGGTACAGCACCGTCGCTGAAAGACGGATGTGCAGTTAAACGTCTGAAAGTCGACAAGGCAGCCACCGCGGAAGCACGTAGAGTAAATCCTAACGCGGCACCAGTGAAGAAAGAGGTTGTTCGGTGCAAAAGGCGGATGCCTCGTCGTCTTCGGACTGAATCGGTCGTTGCGTCAGACTCTCACGATAGGCGTATAAAACAGTGTGAAACGGCGTGCAATGACGTGTGGATGGGAGGGCATGATCCATTCGCCGTCTTGCACATTTTGAATAACGTAGACGATAAAGCGGTCGTGCCGGCGTGGCTGGCGGCCGCCGTCTGTCGTTTGGGAAAGCGTAACTACAGACGATGGTGTAGCCTTTTCTTTCACAATGCAGTTGGCAATTGGGTCAGGTGATGCTAACGTAGAATACGCGCTAAAGTACGGCTTTAAGCCAGTTGCTCCCGTGCGAACTCCGGCCGATGTTCTTCTTACGGCTCTGGAGACGCGCGGCGCCACCGCAAATATAGACGCTGGCGTAGTTATGAGAATGTATAATGCAGTTTCGTCGGCTAGGTGTCAATCAATCTTTCAGGCAATGCACAAAAATTGGCAGCTGCCTCTGCTGTATAGGAATATTCGCGCGCGCGGTTTCGGCTTTAGTGGTACTCGCCTTCTGCGGCCAATTTCTGCGGAAGATGCCGGAGAGTATGTGTTTGCTAGCCGTCTGGAGCATTTCAACGCGCGTCTAAATGATAATGTGCATCATGGCGGCATAGCTGCCGACGAGTTTCAGCGTGTCATGTCGGTTCGTCAATTTTTTGATACTTTTGTAGTCTCTGAGAAAAAGATAGGTGATCAAAAGGTAATGACAATTGGGCGTCGGCGTCACCAGGTTTGCGGGTCACGTGTGTGCGTCCGTCTGACTCCACACTACGGTAAAAGTAGCGCTAATCCGTCCAGGCAGGGCTTCTGGAAATACGCCCGCGATATTGTTCTTTGGTGTGAACCCTGCTTGCTTGCAGAGGACCTGATGCCGTCTCAGCAGGCTTCACCGGCTGAGGTGTGCATCCATTGGATCTGTAGGTACCACCGTCTGCTGTCAACAGGCTTAGACGTTCCGGCTTTTGTGCGGCGGTATTATAATCATTTTCACCCGTCTGACGCCAACGACGATTCGAGTGCGTCCGAGTCGTCGGATAGCGACGACCCAGATCCCGAAGATCAAGTTATTTTAGAACAAAATGAACCAGTGGAGCCGGAGGCGAATGCGACGCGTTTGCCCGATCGTTTTTATCAGACGGCTCTAGACGCAATGCTAGGTAATCGGGGGGATGATAGGTCGGCGGATGATGGGGAAGCAAATTGCGTACCAGGGGTGGCCGCGGCCGGCATTGCCAATCCGGCTGGCTTTGATTTTCAAGCAGACTGGCTAGGAGACAGGCCAGTTAATCCCGACCTAGTGCGTCGCAATTATCGTAGGCTAGTCGCTAGCGGTACAGGAGACGTCGCACACGCACCGCTGGCTGCCCTCTCAGGGCGTCAGCGCGTGCTGTCGGCGGTTTTAAAGCGCTATTTAACGCAACAGAGGGAATTTGCTTGCTCGCGTCGCCAGTGGGATTCATACGATAGGCAGGTGAAGCAGTGGCGTCTGGCGGGCTCATCGCGTCAGGTCCCACCCGTCAGACCGGATATCGTAGACTTGCGGCAAACGCCGCCGAAGGCACTGCGCGCGTTCCTGCTAGGAGATCCTGGTGCCGGCAAATCTTTCACTTTGCGTTCGGCCGTGCATCAGCTTAGTGAAATGTTAGGTGATGATTTTGCTAAGTGGACAGATGTAGTTAAATTGTCTGCACCGACAGGATGTGCGTCTTTTCACATGGCGCATGGCGCCACTACCATCCATCGTTTATACGCCATCAGCGTGGGCCAAACAGGGGACGAGCCGCTGGCCGAGGATAGCCGTCGCTTTTCGCAACTTTGTGATAGCCTTAGTACTGAGCTAGGCTTGATAATTTTTGACGAGTTTTCAATGATTCAGCGTCGCATGATGCGTTGGGTAATGCAGCGTCTCGGTCAGGCAGGTGTTAACATGGATCACATAGGTGTCCTGTTTGTCGGTGATCCAGCGCAAATTTTTCCAATCGGGGATGTTCCTATTTGGAGCTTGCGTCAGCGCTCGGATGACGGTAATGCATGCTGTGAGGCCTCTATTTTGGGTATGGCAGCTTTCCGTGAATTATTCAGAATGCCGGCGCTTGACACTTTGCCAGGGTATGAAACGTGGAGAACAACGCTAGGTGTAAACCGCGCTGATCTTAGTGACCGCGTACGTGCGGAAGTAGCTCGTTTTCGCGCCGCCGCGTACGACGGCGACTATGAAACTGTTTATTTAAATGAGGTGCGTCGTACTGTTGAAAATGACGAGGTAGCCGCAAAATTTACTAAGGAGATTCTTCCTTCTATGAGATACGGTAAGGCCACCCCGGAGAAAATTCAGTGGCTCAAGGAAAACTGTGCCACAACTGAGGACTTGTCTGCCGATCCTGCGTGGAAATGTGCTATAACGTTACATGGGTATCACTGGTTTAGTGAGTGGGCCGCAAACCGCTCAACAGTAGAGTCCGATAATGCTCGTGCTCTGGTTAATTTTGCTGCAGATAGGAGCGCTCACGTCATGGCCGTAAATTCACAGCACATTCCAGCCAGGAAGGCTCAGAAATTACAAAAATTATCGGCAAAAGAGTTTCGCGCGGTGCCTTCGGTTCTCTTTGCGTGTAGGGGTCTGCCGCTGATGCTGCTAGAAAATGTAGCACCCAGCTTCGGGCTATTTAACGGGTCTCAGGTAGAGTTTGTGGGTCCCCTATATCTAGAAGATGATTTGCTTGTGACTATTAGCCGTCGCGACTTTGCGGAAAAAGTACGTGTTGAAGGTGTGACACTTGTGGAGCCTATCGACACGCCCCATTCAGATAGGGAAAACGTTTATCAGGTGCCGGTGGGAAGCGTCATCGTTAAAGTAAATGGCAATGATTTAGAGGGTAACTGTCTGGATGAACTAGTGGCCACCGCGGACCCTGTTAAGCTAGTTTTGCGCACACCAAAGTGTGCGCCTCATTTGCCCGAGTTTATTGTCGTTCGTGTTCCTGGCTATACCGCCAACGGTGGTCAAAACGTTCTAGGCATAGAAGACGCAGATGATCTTGTTCCCATCCGTGCAGTGAAACGCGGCCGTGCATCTCGCAAAAAGGGCAGCGCTGTTTCTGAAGATAACTGTTCTGAATTTCGCGTAGGTTTTCCGCTCGAGGGGGGCAGCGCGTTTACCGGCTTTAAAGGCCAGGGTGCCACTTTGTCTCGGGTAGAAGTTAAAGTAAAGGAATGGGTGGGCAATCCGGGCTTTTGGACTGTCGTAGTTTCGCGCGTTAAACATCCAAAGCACATGTACATTCCTGAGACAGAATGGCCTACCGCGCAGGAAATAAATGTTCAGCGCCTTAATGATGACGTCATTGAAGCAGAAATTTTTGAGCGCCAAATGCGCATTAATGCCGCCAAAACGTGGCGTCTTTACGTAGAGATAGAGGGCGGAGCTGAATGGTCACGGGAGCAAAATTTGATTGCAGATTACGTACACAGGGCGTGGAGACAGCATCATGTTCAGGACGTAGGTGAAATTGTTTTGCAATGTCTCGCTGCTTCCGGCAGACATGTAGAAATGGTGGAAGTCGTAGCGGTTATAAACAAAATGTTAGCTACAGAAGAAAGCCTGATACTCGCCAGGCCCATCTATTTGACTCAGTCCAAACACAGACAGCTAGAGATGAGTGTTCCCAAGCGTAAGCGGTCTTCAACCGGGGCTAAAAGGCCAGCGTCCACTTCAGTTAGTCGCGGACGACCCGCCAAGCGGGGTCGCAAAACTGGTAGGCCTGCACAGTAATGCTATCTTTTCATCGGATAGAATACGACCGACACTATGTCACGCGCGTGTCAATGGGCTCCACAAGGTGGTTACGTTACGTGTTTGGAAGCAGAATATCACACAGTTAGGTCGGTGTTGAATTCGGGGTCTGGGAGGCCTAGGCCAACCGGTATTTCTTTCTTTCTGCCCTTAGCCCTTTCTACCGTAGGAGCTTCCGGGGTTTCTTTCCTTAACACACCCATCAGCAGTGCACAACTGCACATTTTTACGCTGGTCCGGTGCCATTAATAACGCTCATGGTGTATGCACCAGCTGGTCAATTCGCGTCACTGGTAGGAAGCTGTCAAAAAAGTGGTACTAGGTCGCTAGGCGTTCATTCTATTATACCTAGGTAGGAGGATGTAAAGAGCCTGAAAATAAGTACATAGGTGAAAAATCTCGAGGCTGCACTGTCCCCGCTCATTGTTCTTCTCCCATAGCAGTCTCCAAGGTGTGAGCTTACGGAACCTTGCCCAGGCGTGGGAGATGCGTTAGGTGGCGCTACGTGCGTTAGATGTGACATGCAGCTGGCTAGCCGAGCAGCTTGGTCCGCCGAGTGTGTCAGGTGATGCTTGTGCTGGCATGTCAACGGAAATAGGTAGGCGGTTAGTGGGGAGGTGACTAAACTCTGCCTGGAGACTGCTATCCCCCACCCTGTCGCCTTAATTAACCAATGAGGGGGTTTACTGAACCTTAGGTAGGCTAAAAACGAAACGACATGAAACAATCTATTCCAATTCCAACACTCAGAGTCAGAGATTGCATTTGTGCTTGCATGTCATTTTCCATTAAAAACAAAAAAAAATACAAAAAAACTTTCCGTGCTTGCATGTCTTGCATGTGTGCTTGCTTGTACGATTGCATGTGTGCTTCCGGCAGGGCTGCGGAGTCGGAGTCGGAGTCGGTCGGAGTCGACAGATCTGCCCTGAGTCGAGTCGGAGTCTGAGTCGATTTTGGAAACCGGATCTGGAGTCGGAGTTGGAGTCACCGAAAATCAATCGACTCCGCTGTCCTGGCAGTGCTGCGGAGTCGGAGTCGGGAGTTGGAGTCGGTCGGAGTCGACAGTTCTGCGCGGAGTTGGAGTCGGGGTTGGAGTTGGTTTTTGAAAGTCGGAGTCGGAGTCAGAGTCGCCGAAAATCCATCGACTCCGCAGCCCTGGTGCTTCGCAGGGCTGCGGAGTCGGAGTCGGAGTCGACAGATCTGCCCGGAGTCGAGTCGGAGTCGGAGTCGATTTTGGAAACCGGATTTGGAGTCGGAGTTGGAGTCACCGAAAATCAATCGACTCCGCTGTCCTGGCAGTGCTGCGGAGTCGGAGTCGGGAGTTGGAGTCGGTCGGAGACGACATTTCTGCGCGGAGTCGGGGTCGGAGTTGGTTTTTGAAAGTCGGAGTTGGAGTCAGAGTCGCCGAAAATCCATCGACTCCGCAGCCCTGAGTCACATGCCATTTTCCACAAAAAAAAACTTTCCGTGCTTGCATGCCACCCTAAAAAAAAATAAAAAAACTTACGTGCTTGCATGACTTGCTTGTGTGCTCGCATGGTCTATTTGAGAATGCATGTACCTCATTTCTTCTTTAGTTAAATTTGTTGGTTATGGCAGGTTTTGGGACGTCAATAACTATCTTGTACTTTGGGCAAAAATGTATAGTTAAACCAGTTCCATTTCTTTTGAAAGCTAATCCTAACTACGTCAAGACACGTACAATGCATCAGCTGCATCAGGCTGTATCTCCGTTCGGCTTTTGATCCCCCAATATAAACGTGTCAGTAATATAATAAGTTTATCCCAGTTCCACGAACGTATTATGCAAACTAAGTGTAGTTACGTCAAGAAAGGTACAAAAGCGAGTTGCATCAGATTCCTAGCTCCGTTTGGGTTTTGATCCCCGATATAACCGTTTTGTAGTGGCTCCAATGTCTAAATATGAAACTTCAAAGAAGCGTTCTAATGACCTATCTCATTGGCATCCATTCAGCAAACTATTCGCCAAATTTGAAGTAGTCACTATCTAATTGAGTAAAATTCTTTTAAAAGCTTTTCTTGGGGTAAATGACGTCCAATTTTAAATTGAAGCTATAGATGCATTCATCAACTATTCGCAAAAAAGCAATGTATGTTACGTAAGGCTAGGTGATGCTGACTCGTCCTGAGTAGCTGACCCATTATTAGTTTTGATGTTGAACAATAAGGTAAACCATTCATAATGAATGGAGTGGCTTGCATTGCCACAGGCAAAATTTATGGGGGCGGACAGTGGGAATATCGGCTATTGCTGCCAATGCCATCGGCAGGGTAAATAATATTCACCTGCTACAGCAGATCTGTGTTTGCCGATATGCCACACTGTGGGATGCCTCCTCGTGGCGCCCCCGGAGAGATGGTTGCCTGACGTCGAATGAAGTTCACATAGTAGTTCGCTGCATAATTACTTTTTTAGTTTCTATTTTGTCTGTTTGAAAAGTGGTTATAAGATCAATGCAGAACGTCTCATACGATCATAAATGTACGACTTGTATTGCGCTTTATAATGAGACTTCTTGACGCTTGATAATTGTTGATACCCAGCACGTTTCTAGCAGCTAACTGTTGTTAAAAATAACTTTCGCACGCAACCATCTCACTAAACGTATCCCGCTATCTCAAGCTATTCTTAGTGTTTGTTGTATTCATTACTACACGAAAATAGCATACAGGATATACCTATCTCAAAAATTATGCCACGTGCCAGGACAGACCGTTGCCGGGCAATACAATAAGACATTTTTATACGGCTACCACATGGTATGGGTCAGATATGGGGCGATTGAAAAGCACGTGCCACGTGGAAACGTGTTTGAAGGGGGAACCTCGTGGAAAATCCGAGGAAGCGCTTTGATTGAGGGTGGCTGCTTAAACGGCAGAAATGAATGCACCACACTTGCCGCACGGCGCCATATTTGTCTTAATAGGTCAGTAATTGCGTTTTGCGGACTTCGTGTGTTTTTTGCGGCGGTGTTTGCGTCTGGTGGCGGGCGGGCGTTTTTCCGTTTTTTTTTTTGTGGTGTTTGCGTTTCGCGGCGGGCGGCCGTTTCTGCGGCGTTTTGCGGTTGGCGGCGGGCGGGCGTTTTTTTTTGCGGCGGTATTTCCGTTTTTTTGCGGTGTTTGTGTTTGGCGGCGGGCGGCGGTTTGCGGCGGGCGGCCGTTTTTTGCGGCGGTTTGAGGCAGGCGGCGTTTTGCGGTTGCTGGCGGGCGGCCGGTTTTTTTGCGGCGTTTTGCGGTTTGCGGCGGGCGGCCGTTTTTTGCAGCGTTTTGCGGTTGCCGGCGGGCGGCCATTTTTTGCAGCGTTTTGCGGTTGCCGGCGGCGGCCGTTTTTTTGCGGCGTTTTGCGGTTGGCAGCGGGCGTTTTTTAGCGGCGGCGGTGTTTGCGTTTTTTTGCGGTGTTCGCGTTTTGTGGCGGACGGGCGTTTTTTGGCGTGCGATGCGGGCGGTTTGATTTTTGCGGCGTTTTTTGAGTTTTTTTTTTCTGCGGTTTTCGGCGGGCGGGCGATTTTTTGTTTTTTTTTGCGGCATTTGCGTTGGCGTTTTGGGCGTGCGTTTTGCGGTGTTTGCGTTTTGCGGCGGGCGGGCGGTTTTTCACAATTAAAGTCCCAACCTTCGGATCCGCAGTGCTGTTCGATAAGCGCTGCCCGGGCCTATCCGAAGGTTGGGACTTTTCAATTAATGACGTCGGCAATGTCAGCATTTAAGGCTTCTGAAACGCCGACGATATCCGAAGGTTGGGACTTTTCAATTAAGAACAATCACTATTCTTTAGAATTGTGATTTTCTATTGAAAATCCCAACCTGAGCTACCTCTCTAGGGGGGTGTTTAGCGTTTCTGCCGCGATTTTGGTCATTTTGATCCCCGCGAAAACGGCTCGATAGATTTTCTTGCCATTTTCAGCGTTTGGTCCCGTATCGGGGAGCTACCAGCTGGCATCGGTCGCTTGAAATATAATTAACCCGTTTTGGGGTAATCGGCACGTGCATTTTCCCATAGGGTTAACATGGGGAAAAATTTAAAATGCGATTTGCGCAAAAACTCCACGTTAGAAATGAATTATATTTTTAGGGTCGAATCTCGGGCCGGGACCCCACCTCATGATGGTAATTATTTAAAATATAATTAACAAAATTTTGGGTAATCGTTAAGGACAGTTACCCCATGCTGAGCCTATGGCGATTTCAAAAAATTATTTTCAAATCGATTTTGCAAAAAAATTCCACGTTAGATTTTGAAAAAGTTCCAATATGTTCTGCCCCGGGGTGTCGGCTACCACATGGTATGGGTCAGATATGGGGCGATTGAAAAGCACGTGCCACGTGCAAACGTGTTTGATGGGGTAACCTCCGGGAAAATCCGACATTGGCCAACTGGGGGTCCTATGGCTCCGAAACCACTCCACCTAGCGACACCAAATCAGTGCAGCCGGTGAGCAGATGAGTCCAGCTTGTCGCACCAGTGGTCACGTGGCGCACGTGCTATTGCACGTGCCGTGGCACGGGGTCAATTTTTGTTCTTAAATACACCAACATTGTGAAATGCAAGGAATGGGGGAAATAGCCGTCAGGCCGTCAGTTTTTATGATAGAGTCGATCTGAATACGGGTATAGACACAGAATGAACGGTGCTAGAAAACTGCTATCTCGGATTTTTTGTAAAATGAGAAATTAAAAATTCTAGGGAAATTATATATTAGAAAGGTGAAATTTCCCTAAATTTTCTCGTTTTTCGAGTTTAGCCGTCCACTGTTCATCAACGGTGACACCGGCCGGGATAATCTTTTACATGCTGATGGCTACGTCGATGGGTCATTACGTGGCGTGAACGGTGAAGCTGTCACAGGTCCGGCACGTGCCACGTGGCCACGTGTTTGAGTCGAGTACCTCCCAGATTATCGTGTATAAGCCAACTTGTGGCCTTATAGCACGAAAACAGCAGCAGTCAGGAAGCCTGAAATGGAACAATCGGTGAGGGGACAAGCCCTGCTTGCACGACCGGTGGTCACGTGGCACACGTGCAAATCTGGGCACCTCCGCTGCGGAGATATTTTATAGTGAAATATTCAAATGTACATAACTTTGTAAGTTTAAGTCCGATTGGGCTAAAATTTGGTGGGTGGATGAATTGTTAACCGACATGAACGAATGCGCCATGTTTGTTGCAGTGCGCCACGTTTGTCTCAAAGCGCCATTTTTGCCGCAAATCGCAGAATGTGCGTAACTTTGTCGAACATGGGACGATTAGGGTGCGCTTTGATTGAGGGATTGCTGCTTAAACGGCAGATATGAATGCACCACACTTGCCGCAAGGCGCCATATTTGTCTTAATGCGTCAGTGTTTGCGTTTTGCCTACGGCGGGCGTTTTTTTTTGCGGCGGTGTTTGCGTTTTTTCGGTGTTTGCATTTGACGGCGGGCGGCCGTTTTTGCGT